ATGTCCCAGTTTAGTTTAGTTATATTTTTTGGTCCATTCTGCAATAAAGCAGCTTTTTGAGTTTAATTTCGTTGTCGTGAGTTTTGCGTTTGGGTCCTTCTCCTGCCTGCACACAGCCAAAACATGACACTATGATAACATAGGCTGAAGGCTCAATTTGTCTTTAATGTATGACACTCAAACTAAAAAACCTGCTGTTATTCTAACATCTGAGTGCCGTCAAAGATTATATGCCATGTATACTGAATAGATTCAGTGGTTAAAGCAATAACAAACTCATTAAGACCTGACGTCAACCGTCTTCCCTTTACCTTGATCTCTGCATGCTTGGTGCCCTTCGTGCAATCCCACAGTGACAGCATGTGGTCATTAGAGTCATCAATGACACACAGAAATGATCCAGCGTCCTAAAACACACCACAAGAGAAAAGAAAGCAGAATTAGATCACGTCTTTACGTCAGTTCAATTCAGTTTTATTTACACAGCAACAAATGACAACAACAGTTGCCTCAAGGTGCTTTATACTGTAAAGTAGACCCTACAAAAATACATGCAGAGAAAAACCCAACAATCATATGACCCCCTATGAGCAGCACTTTGGCAACAGTGGGAAGGAAAAACTCCCTTTGAACAGGAAGAAACCTCCGACAGACCCAGGCTCAGGGAGGGGCGGGGCTAAAATCATGCTGAATCTAAGGCAAATGAATCTACTTGCTCTTGTTAACGTGAATGTAAACACATGAAGTTCCAGGATGTTACACTGCAATCAACTCACAGCAAATGAAAACGCCACTGATCCCACTCCCCTCTGGAAGGTCCCCGGTCCGATCTGCTGCAGGGTGACCAGCGTGGTGGAGTCCCAAATATAAACGCACAGCTGCAGAGGCTGCCGCAGATACAGAAACATCACTTACTCGTTTGTTGCTGCAAAATTAACCAAGCTGTACTGATCATTTAAAAGTTCGATCATCTTTTAACTTATGATGCTCAAACTATGGATGCAAACGGTGTTATTTTAAGTGCAGCAATAGTCACCTTGCCATCTTTATCCACCCCTGCTGTCTGGCCAGATGCCACTCGCACTTTGTCAGGATGGAGTGTGAGACTGCAGAGAAAGACATTTTCTGTGTGAAGCTTTTGTAAGTTTGCTGTGCAGAAACATGAGGGTGGTGGGTTGCATCCATCATGGCAAAATGACAAACATGTGCTTACGGTCAAATAAACAGTGGCGTCTGTGTTTGGTCACAGAGGTTTATTTGGCTGCAGCACGATGAGAATGACTCAAAGGTTAAATGATGTCTTTTTGGCACAAATAGCATCCAGTGAACAACTTTAGCCTTTCTATACTCTGTTGTGCTGTTTTTGAAAAGAAGACTAAACGGTCAGAAAGATAACCTTGTCAAGAAACAGACATTTGCAGCTGTGCACAGTTTTAATGGTAAATAGCTGATACAATCTTCAAATATGATGCATGGATGCACAATTTGAACATACACTTTGTGGCAAAGGACAAATGAGAACATTTTTGTCACATGGACCTAGAAGATACTTGCAGACCCTTCAGCTACTGTTTCTGCCAGCTGGTCTCTACTTCACATGCTACCATACTTGTTTCCCATTTTAACTTGGCTCTTAAAAGAAATCTCAAAATCACATATTTTGGTGCAGAGTGTTGCGGCTGGATAGGTCAGCTACCATGCAGTAACACGCCAGCATGCTTATCCCCTCCAAAATCTGCTTTATTCTCTTTGACTCAAGTGATAATCCAAGGAATGGAGTTGAGTTCAGAAGCAGGTTAAAGCAGACAGTAGCACAAGCTCTTGTTCCCGATACAGAAAAGTGTTTTTCTGTCACCAGGTCACACAGACCTCTGTCCACAAACATCTGCAATCAGTCTAGTCTCACACTAATCAAAACAGTCACCTCTAGGTGTTTTATATTGCAAAGTAGAAACCCAATAATAAAGGAGAGAAAACCCCAACAATCAAACGGCCCATACGAGTAAGCATTCGGCGACAGTGAGAAGAAAAAACTCCCTTTTAACAGGAAGAAACTTCCAGCAAAACCAGGCTTCCTCTGGTTGGGGGGGAGGGGTTGGAGTGACACACAGTGGGTGATAAACAAACACTGTGCATCATGGGAAGCCCCCAGCAGCCTTTTGCCCTAACTATATACTTTCTCAAAACAAAGTTTTAAGGCCACAGCCATCGGGGAATACGAACCATGCCTTGGTAGGTGACGTGTCAAAGTAACATCCACATGGATGCCAGGACTCACGGTCAAGTTCTGATGCTCATGTGCCCATTAGCACGTTCAGCAATAGACAGGGGTCAGCATTGGGACCCTTAATTGTATGCAGTTGTACACAACTAGCATTAACCTTTTCGGCAATTTGAAGTTACAGTAGTCCGTCTGTTGGATCGGACCACGCGAGCCGGCCTTCGTGCATCAGTGAGCCTGTCGCTGTTTCACTATCGTTCCTTCCTTGCACCGCTTTTGATAGATACTGACCACCGTAGACCAGGAGTACTTCATAAAAGCTGAGTTCACTTTCACTAGTTACACCCAGGCTGATTAAAATAGACCTGTTGAATTAAGAAACCATCTGTCTAACAGACTGAAATAGGCTAAAAGGTCTTAAAAAGCAAGTCTTCGTGCCACAATCTTTACAAACTGCTACTACAGCTGCTTAGATTTTAATGGCCAAGTTGTTGTGTCCTAAATGTTTTGCAGCCATCTGCCACCAGATTGAGCATCGTTGTTGAACAATACCATAAATAGATGAATCTATTTTTGTTAACACTATTAATTTTAGTTCTTTTAAAGGTGAACGAATGAGATCACGGATGCAAACAGCTGACTTTAGCTTTCTCCGGGCCTCTCCGTTACCACAGGGCAAAGAACTCAGTCATTAGAGAGACGCTCAGAGTAGAGCTGCTGAATAGGTTTTTAATTAGTTATATACTCATTTAAAAACTACATTTTGGACTTACTTTGACTAATAGTAAAATTTCTTTCACATTTTAAGATATTTAAGTGGGACAAATATACAAAACACAGAAATCAGGAAGGGGGCAAATACTTTTTTATGTAGCTAATCAGTCAGCTGAGCTGCCAAGTTTGATTTCAACATATGGATGATTTATTCATTAACTCCGTTCCACTAACCAGCGGACGCAGTCTGTGTGTTTACGATAGTGCCGTTGTGTGCGGTTGTTGATGTGATAAAGCACAATCACACAGGCAATGAAGTACACCGCCTCGCCCGTCGGAAGGAAATACAGATTAGCTCGACCGTCCCGTCCACGGTAACCATAGCTAGCAGAACAGCGTTAAGGTAACAACAAGATACAAGAAAGAAACAAATCACACACAAAACTGTGTTGCTGAACCTTGCTTTAGTTCGAGCAGGCCAGCTTTAACCATTGCACCCACACCATCTCAGCTAAAAACTGCCCAATATAGACCATACGAGGCAT